ACCTCAGTAATGGCAATGTTATCCAGGACGACATGCTGTGTGCCGGGAGCGAAGGCCGGGACTCCTGCAAGGTGAGACCCCCAGACTGTGGCCTCCGTCTGTTGCTTCTGCCTGCAGGGGCCCTGAATACTGACCACCTGTCTCTTCTCTCCACAGGGTGACTCTGGGGGCCCCTTGGTCTGTAAATGGAGGGGTACCTGGGTCCAGGTAGGCGTGGTGAGTTGGGGGCACAAGTGCGGTCTTGCCAACTTTCCTGGAGTCTATGCCCGGGTGAAATATTTCTTGCCTTGGATCCACCATCATATTCATTCCTCTCCTTGAGCCCGGGGCCGGGCAAGGATGCTGCCCATGAGATGAAGACAGGCCCTCCAGGGTGTCTGGGGGACCCTCCCTGCTCCCTCCCAGTGCCAGCTCTTCATTGCACCTAGCGCCCCTCCTCCATCCCTCCCCCCCCAGCCCCTCTGAGATCCTCCTGCCTCAGCACCTCCATCAGCCTCTCTCCCCTGACAGGCAAAAGGGAGAGGTGGGATGTGCTCTGAAGTCAGGCGGGCACTGCAGGACTCCTGCCTCCTCCCCGCCCCCTGTAGCTCATTAAACTGCATGAAAAACTGCTCTGGACTCAGTGTACTTACCTGTGGGCGTGGCCAAGGCGGCCAGTGCGTGGTCCGTGCTGCTGGGGGGGCCCAGGCTCTGGGAGGTGGACCAGGTGGGATGGGCAGCTATGGCTGCAGCGAGGAAGAGGGCAACCTGGCGGCTCTCCTGGCTGGGGTGGAGGTGAGTCTGCTGCCCGGGGCTGGAGGCCACAGCCCGGAGGGCCGCCCCAGAGGGTGCAGACCGTCCCTCTTCCTCCTTCAGTCGCAGTCAGTGTGTCATGGAGGCTTTAATGACCTGGACCTGGCCCCATGCAAACAGGAGGTGCTGTGTTTCCATGGTCACTGCTGCTCCCTCTGACCCACGGCGCGCCGAATCCCCATTTTCCAATGTGATCAACTCCTGGGCCCAAATGAAGTGCAGCCTCATTTCCATGCAGATCCTCAGTCTCCCATTCTGAGCTTCTCCCGAGCAGGGCGGACCTGCAGGGCCC